CAGACTGCTGTGCACTGGGAGTGTGACTGACAGCACTGTAAAGCCAGGAGTGGATCAGACTGCTATCCACAAGTGGCATGAAGGAAAAATAAAGCCCATACAGCCCCTTCATCTGTGCTGCTGACATCCTGCAGACTGAAAAGACAAAGGGGCCCCATCTAATTAGGGCAGCAGACAGTCGGTGTCATGCAGACAGCCTCCTCGGCCACGACACACTCACGCACACACCCCAACAACAACAACAGAGCCGCACTCCCATACCCCCCCCCTCTGTGACACACTTTCACCGCCCGGCCCAGGCAGGCCCCCCGCGACACGCCGCGCAGGAAGGAAGTGAGACGTCGGCTGCCCGCCCGCAGGCGAGCGAGCGAGCGAGGGGGGAGGGGCGGCTGGGCATCAGCTCCTCGACCTCAGAGAGGGGCACAGGCCGTGCGCAGCGAGGCGGCCGGAGAAAACTCACGATGGCGATTCGAATCGGCCGGGGGGGGACAGGAGCCCCTCTCTCAGCACAGCCATCTGAACTGCTTGTTCAGAGGGTAGAGAGTTAGGAGCGATCTGCCGCCCCTGCGCGGCTCGTCAGCAGAGCACAAACACCTGTCCCGTTTGAAACTACCTGCCGCCCCTGCGCGGCTCGTCAGCAGAGCACAGACACCTCACCACTTTAAACAGGTCATAGCAGGAGTCGCTATAGCAATCGATATAAAAAAAAACAGACTAATTCAACTTAAATGTGTAATTAAAGTAATTATATTGCACCCAAAGATTAAATACAAAAGTACAAAACCCAGCATACATTTTGGTGGGATTCAACGCTCGTTTTTGGCAACCAATCATCTCTCTTAACCAGCAGACGTACAACATTAAAATATTAAACAGCAGACACAGAATACACAATGCAATGCATATTGAACAGAAGAGAAGATACGACAGCCACTGCACACCATACACCAGTCAGGGCTGCTCTTGTCTGTACTGATCCCCCACCGTGCTTCACTGCGGACGTCATGCACAGACTGCTAGTGCTCTCCGGGCAACCTCTGAACACACTGCTCCTCACTGCTCCCAAACCCAGTAGGGGTGGGGGAAAAAAAAAGCGACTCTTAGATGCATCATGATTCTCTCTTGTACGATTCTGCATCGATGCACAAAACTCCACAATCGATCTTTTAATTTTTTTTTTAAAAAAATACGCACAGTACTAAACATTTCAGACAAAAACGATACAAAGTAAAAGACAAAGAGAACAAATAATAATGGTTTCGTTCTTTGGGTTTAAGACTAAATTAATTGCGTGGTGAAACGTACAGACATATGTCTGTACAAGCGCTCCATGCTTACACCTGAACTAAGCTAAACTACCCGGTTTGTGAAGACGGACACACTCCGGCCTGCACCCTCCTCTTGGAGAGACACCCTTAGGGCACATTTCGGATTTTCTGAAGTGAAAGGTGAAAATGAACTGGATAAGAGCCGTGCAGCGTGCCAGCTGCGTTTTACCCAGACAGAATATTCCAGGAACACAACGATCATGCGCAATCACATTTCACATTCCCACCCGGAGCTGGAGGGAAAACGGCCCATTCTTGCTGCTGCCGAGCAGAGACCCCCCTCGAGCCCGCGTCAAAGCTCCCACACGGTTCAGACCGGGCCAGGAGAATCACCGGGTCTATAACGAGACTTGCGCCCCCACGCCGCCGTTGAAAACCCGGGCTTCCGCTAGATGTCAGAAACACCGGAGCCGGGGTACGACAGGCCGTCTCGGCCTCGCATCTGTGAAACAGCAATACCAGCGCTCTACAACGACACCAAAACCCAAGTTCTGGAACCCCTGAAGAAAGCCAATAGGGTGGCAATAACCTGCGACGCCCGGACGTCCGCTGCAGCAGAACCCTACATCACCATTACCGCTCACTGCGTCACCGATGGCTGGCAGCTCGGGTCTCGGGTGATCCAGTCACGCAGTGAGAAAAAAAAATCATCATGTATAGAAAAGAAAGAGATCGAGATGCATGGAGAATCGATTTATAAGCGCATGGTGGCACCCCGAATCGAAATCGAATCGTGGGGTGCCTAGAGATTCCCACCCCTAGCGGACACTTTTACTTTGCATGAAACTTCGCAACAAATCTTGAGGGCGCGTGCGCTTGGATCGGAAGTTTGAAACGCACATACAGGACGGTTTATCGTGGCGACCTTGAGCCCTCCCGTACTGCACAGCCCAGGTCTGCGCTATCTGGGCCGATCTTAAGCCCCCCAGTATTTTAGAGAAAAATATTAACCTGGAGGCCAAACCCTGAGACAGAACGACCAAAGTCATTGTGACCACAAGCAACCAGGTTCACAATCCACACAGCCTCCTTTCTGGGTCACAAGTGAAACAACAGAAGTACAGCCCATGAAGAACAACAGTATTGGCAACAGGGCTACAGACTGGTGCAGTCATGTCTGTGTGTGTGCTGCTAGCTGTGCTCAGTGCCCCTCAGTGATCAGCTGGTGCAGTAATGTGCAGTAATGTCTGCATGTGTGTGTGATGCTAGCTGTGCTCAGCACCTCTCTCAGTCCAGTCCGGATGCCCTTCAGTGATCACCCTGGCAGTTGGGGTCAGCGGTCAGCGGTCAGCCCCAGCACAGAAAACTTCACTTAACCAAGACAACCTTGTCTGATCCCATACAACCCCACACATATATGCAGGGCGGGAAAATGTCATTCAGGGGGGTGCTACTGTCACAGGTGAGGACAATGAGTGGGACCCCCAGTAGGACAAGAGGGGTTCCCTATATTTCACAGGTACCTTCTTCGGGAACAAGTCACCTCTCATCACCCCCAGAGCATCATGGGAGGCCAGGCTATGGGAGAGCGATTTCCCATTAAGGAAAAGCGAAACCCCCAACTGCTGGAGGGGTGTGCCAGTCAGCACAAAACTGGACAGCAGAATCCAAACATGACACAGGAGTCCTGGACTTCAGAGAGCTGAGAACAGTCTCAGGTTTAAAGGCACAGGCCCAGGCACACCAGAGGAACCGAGTCTCTTCGGTTCCGACTCCACCAGACTGCAGGTGGGGAGGGGGCCCTGCTTCAAGGATTCAACAACGGACACCATCCTGCGGGACCTCTTGGAGTGCCCCCTACTGGTCCACCTACACCACACGCAGCAGCAGCCTGGGTATCCCAAGAGATCTCCCTCCCCGATACTGACCCTTGCTATACACTGAACAGAGTACCTTACTCTGGGCCCAGGAGCTGGAAAACTGAACCAGCTGCTCTTCTGCACCGCCTGTCTCTACATCAGTATCTGGCAAGACCCGGACTGGCCCAGACCAGGGGGAGTCTCGGACCGGTACCCCACGGGGGCCTGCGCGGGCGGCTCACCTTCACAGATGCGGTCCAGTCTCTGCCGCTTGACCTTGTGCTTGTCCATCAGAGCCATGGTCTCGGAGTCCCGGCGCCGGCCAGCGCCACTCGCACACGGGCGCAACCGCACAACCCTCGCCGCTGCCTCGCTCCGGCACAGGACGGGGCGCTCTCGCTCGCCGCAGGGTCTGGGGGGGGGGGAGGGGAGACGGAGCAGGTCACGCCTGACGGAGCAGGTCACGCCTGGGCCGCAGGCCACCACGAGCCCCACGCACTGGGCACGGGTCCCACACTGTCGCAGCGGAAGGGTCCAGGTCTCGGGTGGAAGGGTGGAGAGAGGCAGAGAAGGACGAAGAGGGAGAGCAGAGGCAGAGAGAGAGTGGAGAGTAAGAGCAGAGACACTCGAGAGCAGAGGGAAGAGGCAGAGAGCAGAGAGAGACACTCGAGAGCAGAGGGATGAGGCAGAGAG